ATTGATGAGCTAAAATACAAAGTATGGACAAAAAAAAATTTCAAAGTGTTCAAAACTAAATTTTAACATTCTTAACAATCACACCATTGTTTGTTCTGCACCTTTTGTCCTGTTCCTCTTCTCTTGAAGGGGAAGTGAAGTAAAAAATAAATAAATAAAACATTCTTGACAATGACATATTCTGTGCGCCCCCATTAGTCGAAAAATATTGCGTTTTGGCAATATGAATTAAGCAGCAAAGTGTACCTGTTATTATCCACCAAAGGGGGCGGCCATTTTGCCTTGTGCTACCACTTGTTATCAACTGAAAGACACATCACAGTGCCCTCAGGATAGGTCAGAACCAATCACAGCTCACCTGTTTTCACCGGTCATTTTGCGGGAACGGATTTGTGTATGTGACACAACACCAAACAAAAATACTGCCCACCACGATGTTGACAACTTCACAAGTATGTGCCACTTATCAGAGGCTAACGCTAATCTGTGCTTCTGAAACTGCTTAGCTTTTGGCTTAGTCACGATAGTGTCCCTGCGTAGGCGTTAGGGAATGTACATTTGTGGACGTATGACATCAGAATTTTTAAACATTTGGAACGGCTATCTTACAGACACATTTTCATAATTAGGTGTCTCACTCAAGATTTATTTAATTGTGTGATTTCATACTTAACGGGTGTACAGGCAGTCCAAAGACCCTACTATATAGATATATATTACATAACATCTCCCCTTTAACGGAGGGTGTTTGTTGTTTTTGCTGTCTTTTTCACATTTAGCTTATATTGAATATAGCATTGCTAAGTGCACATTGTGTCAGTATGATAAGCAATGCTTTCTGGAACAGCAACTTCAGCTTAAAAGGTCTTATGTGGAGCCGATGGTCTAATTAAACCCACTTGGATGCCGCTTAAAGCATTTGGATGTTCTCATGCCGGTTGGCCCTCCCCCAATTAATACTTCCCCTTACTCAGCCCTGGCACGTAATTAGTTAGCCTTCAAGGCAAGGATTCCTATTCTTTAAATTCTCCTGCATAGGACCCACTCTTAAAAGCAGAAGCATGTGATTTAAATAAATAAAATAAAATAAAAACTTTTACTTTGACATATGCATTTTTGTTTCCTGTTGGTCTGTCTGTTCTGGCTGGGAGCAATTCTTTTGTTATTGAAAGGGCCATCTTTGAAGGTTTTGGGCCCAAGTGGACCGCTATTTGGAATTAACTATACATGGTCCCAGGTGTTTAAGCAGCTGTACTTGGTACACCCTACATGCTCCGTTAACTGATTCATCTACCCTCAAAGTTCAAGCCGCCTTTGTCATCAACACACACACTAATTTACGCCGGAGCAGCAAAGTGGTGAAGCACACGTGGCAATGATTGGTCCTCCTGGCATCGTCTCCTCGTCACGTTGGTCTGTCTGCTTCAAATTAAGGTAGAACTAAAAAAAAAAAAAAAAAAAAAAAAAAAAAAAAAAAAATCAAAAAGTTTTTTAGGACAAAAAAAAAAAACTTTTACCGACCTTAACATGATTGCTTCCATTCCAAATGGCTGATCATGACACAAAACAGCTTACCTATAATATAACTGATTGTCGGTCATGAAGTATGTAAATTGATCAATAATATTCAAGGAGCAGTTTAACCCAAGACATGAAATCATTCATGAGGTGCAAATAAACATTTAAAAGTGTGTCTTACTCGCCCGTGTTATTCCCCCACTTCACTAAATGGCCTTGCCTGTGCACTATTTTATGATGTGCATATATTTGGGGGCGGGGGCATGTCAAATAGCCTGCTTTATTTATTTATTTATTTATTTATTTGAACAAGCGTCAGTTCATTTTTTTTTTCTGCGAAATGGACAATGTTGGGCAAGTTACATCCAAAATGTAATATATTACACAAGATATACAATTTGCCAGATTTGTAAGCCCACTAATATCACAGCCATTTTGAAAAAGATTGGGGTTGTGGGTAAAAGAACAAAGTACAAAAAAAAAAGCTCGTTTTTGTGTGTGTGTGTGTGTGTGTGTGTGTGTGTGTGTGTGTGTGAGAGAACAGGAACAGATTTATTTATTCCATTTAACATGAAACAGAAAAACTGCCAGCAGTATCGAACAATCTCGGATGTTTGCAGTGACTGTTTTTACTGTGTGGTTCATTTTGCAATCCATGTAATGCTGTTACAAATTTAGCGACGAAGATCTTTTATTGAACAGTACAAATAATCAAGCACAGAAATACAAAATATGTATACTGTACTCGCAAGGAGCTGCTGTAGGCACTCACATAGAGACTAACTGGCCAAACTGACTTCAGCTCCTGATACTGTATAAAGCACTAGGCCACGCCCCTTAATGGCATACGTTCAACTCAGAAATACAGTGCTACAGTATAAACAATAATTATCCTGTATAAAACATTACATGGTCTTTTATCAGTTTTTATGTTTGTTTCTTACAACGCAGGACTGTTTTTATTTTTTATTTATTTTTTGGATGGGGGGTGGATTCATGGCATTTGAATTCATTTCTTTAAGGTAGATTAATTAAATGACAAATTCGGGAATAAATTCGATTCGTGGCTCACAAGTGCAACACACACACCACAACCACTTAAGTGACGTTCCTCGAAATCGAGAAGTCTTCAACAGAAAAGTTAAAGCCGCATTTAAAAAAAAGCATCAAGATCGTGATGGCCATGGTATGCCCAACACAATATTAGTAATTCCTTACATTACTTTCGTTACATAACTCCTCTCGGTGACCTCTCAAATATCTGCTCGCTAGTTTATTTCCCTCGCAAACAAACATCTGCGAAGGCTCACCCAGGCCTTTATGGGTAACGCGATGACGACAAATGATGAAGTGCTACTGTCGTCACCGCCGCAAGCTTCGCAGCGACTAAAATAGCCTGAAACGCAGAGACGCACAAACGGATGTATTTCCCCTCTTATAGAAGCGAAGATCAAATTAACAGTTACTTGACAGTTAACGCTCGAGTGTGACGGAAGGAAAAGTCTTTCACGATTAATGAAAGCCCTCCTCGGTGTGGCACATACCAGAAGACCTCGGTACATATTTCCATTGGGTGTTCAAGAGGTATGAATGCCACGCCTGTCAGTGTCGCGTTGTCGCCGTCTGTATCGCGTCCACTTTCTCCTGTGGCCCTCATGCAGTTGAGCTCGGGACAAACATTCCAGGGTGTAAAGTATCTGATAGGGCGTGTGTGCGAGGTCCCATTGTTTCACAACAGGGAAGCTCGTACCTTGGTGTACATGGGTGTTTGCCGTTTGTGTCCACCTTACTCCCGTTTTTTAAAATTTTTTAGTCATTTCAGTTGTGTTAATCGCAATGCAATGAAACTTACCAATGGTGTGGATTTTTGTCTGCTTTTGTAGTTTGGATCTTGAAACGGAGTAAGATAGTGATGACATCAAATTATACATTTTTGCTCTATCGTTTCCATTTTTGGCCAACCTACGGATAACATACATTTAAAAAAGTCCTTGTTATTTATTGGACTAAATAATACAACTTTGGTGAATTAGGTTTCATAGACTTAGCTATTTCAAAGGTGTTATTGTTTTCTACGACCAGATGACATCAGTTATTCATTTCATTGTGGGACCTCCTCCCAGATGAGATGTTGCATCTCAAGGGGATTATCCCAAATTAATAAAGAAGTATCATCATCATTTCACCGGTGAACAAATTTTTATTTATTTGTTTTTTTTAATCAGCGATGGAAGTAAACCTTTCTAGATTAATTTATTTAATTAATTTAGATTCATTTGTTTCATGAATTTCACAGGGCACACATAGACGAACAACCATCCACACTCACACTCACACCTAGGGACAATTAAGAGTGTTCAATCAGCCTGCCACGCATGTTTTTGAAATGTGGGAGGAAACCGGAGTACCCAGAGAAAACCCACGTGGGCACGGGGGAGAACATGCAAACTCCACACAGGAGGGTCGGAGCCGGAATCGAACCATGCACCTCTTCACGGTGAGGCCCACATGCTAACCAGCTGATTACCGGGCCACCCTCATGTTGTCATAATAATAACAACAATAATAATAACAATCATAATAATAACAATAATAATAGGGCGGCCTGGCCTCGCAGTGCAGAGGTGTAGGTCTTTTAGATCCTAGATTTTAGCTGCTCACTCATTGTGTTCCATCCTTAACTTCCACTTCTCCTGCTGGGAAGTTCACAAACATTCCCATCTTGTAGAATAATGCCCCAAATCCTCTGGTATGGACTGAATATCAATGTGTGCCCGCTTAAAATAGGATTGTAGCAGTTTCCAGGAACTGTGTCAGCACAGTGGGACTAGTCTGGTTACTTTATGGCATCGCAGGATTTAGCTGCTCCAGCCCTTGACATGATCAAGAGACCTCGCTTAACTCATGGTGGAATAACTCACTGGCAAGTAACACAGCAGGACATTTCGAGAAGGGCTCGCTCTTGTCGGAATGCAGTGACTCCTCTTTGGTTACTAGGCAGTTTTAATTACCTTAAAGTGGTGTTCTGTCAGGCCTTATTGCAGTGGACAAAACCAGATCCTATTTTCTGGAGTGCCCCTACTTTTGAGTTTTCCATGCTACGAACACTTTCTCGGTCAGATTTTTCCTTTGTTAAGAAAAAAATGGAGCAGTTACAATATTGTTGAGCAAGGAGAGCCATCGTCACTGATGTACATCAAACTTTATAACCTTTACTATCCTGACTTCTGAGGGCATTTAAAAGTGTGCAGAGTGTTTCCTCAGGTGACCTTTGGAGGAGCAAGTGGCCTTAAGTGGTGGTCACGATATCAGAGAGTAGAGCGTATCACTTTGGCGGATGCTTTCCGTGACTAAATATAGCTGCCTTTAAAGCATGCATATTGTACATTGGGAGGACAGTTTGGAGCTCCTCAGGTTTTTATGGTCTGGCACGTGGTAAGATCAGCTTGAAATGATGGGCCTTTCTTCTTCTGTCTTTTCAGAGTCACCAGTGCCTCCAAGGCTCCTCCAGTGGCACCCAAGGTATGATTCCAATATGTATTATTGTTTGAAGGCTTGAATCACAAAACGATAATTGACAAAGGCCTTGACACGCCAGGTGATATTCAGTCCGTACAAATGCAGTAATGATAGTGGGTACTGTATTTCCTCAAACATCCGCCATCTTTCTAATAGTCAGCTACTTAAGACAAAGAGACAGCTCAATTTTCCCCATTAGGAAATAAAGTGACAACTCAAAGACATTGAAAAGTTGAGCAGGTGAGCCCATAGAAATTCTTTTGCTAAGCAAAACAGCAGCACCAAAGCACTTAAATAGTCTATCAGATGCATCAACTGAGAGGAGTTTCCTGAGCAGTATTACAGACCGTCTGCTGTTTTATGGAAACAATGGGCTCTATATCATGTGCACTTGGGCATGAAAACTGATGCAGCTTAATTTTCGTGCCGGAACAAGCCTTGTTTAACACGTTTGGGCATTTGGCAGTCCACGCTGTGCCATTCTGAAGGTGGCTAAACAGTAGACATTAAACCAGCTGAAAGCAGGTCTAAGTTGTGGCACAGGTAATGTAACGCACTGTTGTTGAATTTGACCAAGGTGCAGATAGATTCTATTTGGGGAAATACAATAATAATTCAACTTTGCTCGAAAATGACAATATCATTGGAAATGATTTATCTGGACTGTCAGGCTGTAGCTCCTTGTAAATGTTTCAATGCATGGTGAAATGTTGACGTGTTTTTTTTTTGTGTGTGTGTGTGTGTGTGTGTGTGTGTGTGTGTGTGTGTGTGTGTTGCATGAATACCACTCACACCTCGTGAAATGCTGCGCAGTTAATCATGCCGATGCCTCTGTACCTATTTACTGTGCACCCCCATTTTTTTACAATGGATATGTTCCAAACCCACCTGCTATGAACTATGTTGAAGTATGTAGAGTAGATTCACTTAGTCATAGCCTGATTTAATAGAAAAGTAGTGCTTCTCCATCTTTTGACCTCTATGGGCGATTTTAAAACTATTTAGGAGTGTGTCAATTACTCGCAGATTGACACAATTTGCAGCAAGGCTTGGTCCCTTATCCTCAGTCGATAGCAGGGGTTCACTGAACATGCATACAGTATTTTCTTAATTTGACAATGAACACTTTAAATTTGAAACTTTTACAATTTCCAAATGGTACGACCAAATGGGTACCAAAGAGGCTTCAGTGACTGTCATGTGTCTGCTGTGTTGTGTGTATTTGCATGCCAGGTGAACAGATGTGACATCATAAAACCTTTGGTCATCACACCCACCCCCTCCCCACCCAACAAGACCCTCAGACCTTACGGGGATTGCGGGTCAGACCATCCTTGGCGCCCATCCCCGGACACTTTCATCCTGTCCCCGTCATCCGCCTTCACCCCCGCCTCCTCGCACCCTCAACCTCCTTCCTCGCCCCCCGTGGGCCCGCCCCACTCTTCCGTGTACAACACACCCATCCACCTCTACTCCACTGAGAATGCCTGTGAGGTGGCCATGGGACAAAGGCGAGGCCTAGTTGAGAATCAGGGCGGACAAGCCTTTCATGGGTAAGTGGTGGTCCAGCTAGAAGTCAGTTCCATCAATCATGAGGCGGGTATGTGGCTTTGGAAGGGGGGATGTGCATGTAAAAAAGCGCCTGCTGCTGTCCTTTATTCAGAGCCGATCCAAGATATTGAGTTGGCCTAGATTCTATTTAGTATCACGCTTGTGCTTTATTTATTTATTTTTCAAATGTGTGAATCAACTCCAGTCCACTGTTGTAGGTGAATGTGGTACCTTTTGAGATTAAAAAACAGGTCAGGCTGCAACGGGATCATTAGTCAACACTGTCATGGCTGCTGGGGAGGCTTGGGCCGGCTCAGCATGTTGTTTGCATGCGGCCTGTTAAGAACTGTTTTGAATTTCCTGTCTTACTATTTTTGCCCCCTTTCAATCTGTTTTTCCCCCCTCCTTTTCAGACGACAACAGTTCATCTGGTTACAAAGTTAGTTTCTGATGCATGTCCACTTCATGATTGTCTTGACAAACATCGTTGTACTTGTGTTTTAAAATGAGAAATACCCTATTTCATCAAAATGGTGGTCATTCCCCAAAGAGACACCACACACCAAATAGTCCACTTAATAAGGGCGACAAACTTGTTTTCATAAAGGGCCATGTAAAAGAATAAGTGAAACCACATAAATAATTGCTCGTAAAATCATATACTGTACCTTGACTCACAGTTTGATTCTTAATTTCAACGGGGAAAATCTATTTATGTATTTGTCGATTTGTTTGTTGATTAATATAGTGATGATTTATGTCAGCCTTACATGAATTCACTATACATTTAACACTATAAAGGCCTCGCCTTTAGTATACTGTATACCTCTTCCCATCTGCAGTGAATTAACACCAATTGGCCGCCATTTGCAGAAATACGGTATATAATATAATTGGAAGAATTTACTGTTTAGGATTGTGCATTACTACACCCTTTCACTTAATGAATTTGTCATTTACACAAGCATGCGCACACACACACACACACACACACACACACACACACACACGTATATCTGCCAGCACTCACGTAATGAGAGTGCAGTAATAAGGGCACCTAAATCAATGAGTGTGAGCGCGTGAAGTGTAGTGTGCATTGCATGCACTTATTGATAATTTATTGTCCTTGTCAATGCCTTTTATTGACCGCACTCAGTTTTGGCAGCAATGCTGGAAATTCACTAATGTTGATTTTTAAGGTCCATTCCACTAGTGTCATTTTTCAAAGCTAAATCTGAAAATATATATGACGAAAATGTATTGGCATTTATTATTTCATGTAATTGTTTTTATTGTACTTAGACTCTTCATTTGAGGGACAGGACGAAAAGTTACAAGAGTTTCTAACAATTAAATACACGAACGGTCGCCATATGGCATTGATGCTAATAGCATGTTGACAACAGGACAGTGATTCAACAAAAAATTATATTTTCCAAACTAAACATCCACCAAACCACAAATAATGTGGGTAATAGGACAGTGAGGTGATTTTAAACCTCCAAGTTATACTTGAAATATCATGAAATATACAGAAAAATAAATGTGTGAAGTTACTTTTGGCCTTCACACGGCCTACAGGGGATATGAATGATGCAATTTTCCGATGCAACTTGTAAATTTTACAGAGGGGGTAGTATGTAAGGGTAAATGGACTCATGTGTGAATTTAAATTCCTTTTCAAGGAAAAAAAACATCCCACTTCACACAATTTAGTAGTTTTTGGGAGCTTTTATTTGTTTTTAGAATAGAAAGTGCAGGTGTACCGAACGTAATTCCGGTGTGACTTTGATATTCTGGCTCCCTCTAGTGGCCATTCTCCGCTACTTTTATCACCTCTTTAACTTCAATCTCTTTTTTTCTTCTTTCTCCCCCTCAAGTGGACCTCACAGTACTTTAAAGTAAGTCTTTACACGCAGCCTCACTGTCTCGATGTGTATACCGCTAGGTGTCTATTTTTTTTATTATTTGTAACTGTATTTATGGTAGGAAATTTAGTCTTTCTCCTTTCTCCCCTTTCCGTTTCCTAAGAAAACCCCAGCCACCCAGGTAATAAAAGTGGCCTGAATCATGACGTGTGTTGTAGCCAACCATCTTCATGCCATACCTCATCAAATGCGGAAGCCTTTTATTCCCATTCAACCATCCCTAGCAGTGTGCGCTGATTAATGAAAGCATATGTTGATTGTCCAGTTTGACTTTGACCTTTGCACTCCCCGCAGGCCTCCCCGCAGACACATTGTGGACACAGACATTCAATTCTACCACGTGCCCTCTCATGCCGGTGCCAGCCGGAAGCGCATCATGGAGGACACGGAGGACTGGCGCCCGCGCACCGGGACCACCCAGTCCAGATCCTTCAGGATTCTGGCCCAGATTACGGGCACCGAGAACTGTACGTAAGAGTTAGTCATTTGATTTAGGAGTTTATATAATCAATTTTCCTTCGTTGGAATGAAAATAAATGGTATCCACATTCGTTTGTAACAAAGATAATTACTCAGTAATGTTTAAAAACACAAACATAATAAAAGATCATATGAAGAAATACACTGGTTTAATAAAGTGTAATTACTGTGTGTGCTGGAGCCTATGTCAGCTGTCTTCGGGCAGTAGGCAGGGGACACCCTGAACCGGTTGCCAGCCAATCACAGGGCACACACAGACGAACACCCATCCGCGCTCACACTCACACCTAGGGACAATTTGGAGTGTTCAATCAGCCTGCCATGCATGTTTTTGGAATGCGGGAGGAAACCAGAGTACCCGGCGAAAACCCACACAGGCACGGGGAGAACATGCAAACTCCACACAGAAATGTCGGAGGTGGAATCGAACCCTGCACCTCTGCACTGTGAAGTCGACACGCTAACCACTTGACCACTGGGCCACCCTACTACTACTAATAATAAAAATACTTCATCATTTTCATAGTACCGGTAGGAATGAAATTTTTACTCCCTCTATTACTTACTTTTTCTTCTACTACTACTACTACTACTACTACTAATAGAAATAATAATAATAGTAATAGTAATGATAATAATATCAATCATCATTGTACTACAATTTTTTTTCTTCCTTTTGTAGCTCAAGCTCAAGCAGAAGAAGCAGACACAGCCAAAAAGACAAAGTAAGTTGCTTGCCTTTGAACATTACTGACAACTGATTACTAAAGCTTGGGGTTGTTTTTGTCACAAATACATTCAATTTTACATCTACATCTCCAACTCTTGTAATCTTTTTTTTTGTTTGTTTTTAAATGATACAGTATATTGGTTGCCACAAAATAAGTGAAGACAAATTGAGTGGAAAGTCCACAACTAAACTTGCACAAATAGCACATTGTAAATACTGGCCTTTGACATCATCATGATATCAGTTTTGAATACCGGTAGTTTATTCTAGTGGTTGACGTGGAATGTTGTTGCATTACAAGTAGAGGCATGGCGTGTTTTCTCATGGATGGCTGACGATCAGGTTGTCGCATTTTTCGGTGTTGAAAGCCTTGTTGTGAGCCGCATGACATCTTAACCTGGCATCGGGTTGATGGGCTGCAGTGTTGTCCTGCACGTGGTTGCTTTGCCTTTTGTATATTTAACGCAGGGACACATTGTTGAATATTAAAGAAGAAATATGATTTTTTTCCCCTATGTTAATGTTAACGTCAAGTTTTAATCTGAATACAACCAAGAAAGTGTCTTGCAAGTGATCCACGGTTGACGTTGCCTCATATAAAAGTATCCCGTGACAAATGCAACTGGGTTCAGTATTTTTGAGAATGTTTCAGTCTGCAGAGAAGGCCTTGGAGGCCCTCACGGCACGCTACTGCTATTTTGTGTGTAGATGTATCATGTATATCTCACAACTTCACTGAGTGATCACGGATGTGCTGTTTAGAAATGTCTGCAGCAAAAGTCAATGCAGTTTTGTGCAAATCTAGGGCCCGAACGATCTAATTTTTTTTTTTAGGCCAATACAGAGTCTGATTTTTGGCAGAATGAAATTCTATTAACCAACTTCATTAATTTTATACATATAAAATGAATAAATTAACGTCTTGGGGTCCTTTAACGTTTAAAATAAAGACATGAATTACAGGCAGAACATTTTGGCCTTTCGTCATTTTCAACAGAGAGGAAGAAAATCAAACAAACTCAGCATTTTTTTTTTTGCTGACTTTGAATGTCATTTTGTTTGTCTTAGGTTGTAACTGATAAATGTAACAAAAAACCCCAATCTGATATAAAATATAATTGGCAAGAATTGGCCGAATGATATTTATTTATTTTTTGGGCCTATTTTGAATGAGATTTAAATCAACTGACCAATGAATCGGTCATGCCCAAGTTATTTCCTAGTTTAGTGTATAAAAAGCTAATGACATTTAAGACAATAAAATAAATAAATAAAACAGATAACCTGTATAGTATTATTACTGTATTTACTGTAATATTCGTCTGTTCGTGTGTGCCTTAAAGGGGTGTGGCCTAGTGAGTAACGCAGTCGCTGCAGTCCGGTTGTGGCTACTTGCGAGTGTTCTTATCTCGTATTTGTGTATTAAGTATATCTACAACTCTCGCTCTCATTGCCCAAATGCCAGCGCATTACCTGTACACTACCTTAATTTTTATTTTTTTGGACACTTGTGAAGCAAGGCTCCACTGCATTTGTATGCAAGCCATTAAAAAGTGTATTTTTTTTTCCGCAATATGTCCCATTTAACTAGTGTTGCTTCCTCTAACAACACTACCTGTCTTCACTGCATCCGAGCCCCTCTTGTGCTGTGCTGTGTTTCGGTTGTCATCATCCCAGGCTTCGTTATCTTGAAACCCTTGTTCTCTTCTGTCCTGGATGGCAGAGTGAACAAGTCCACTACACGGTTGGTGATCGGCCCAAAGTACACCGAGCTGAGGGACTGGCACCATGACGTGTCCGCTCGCACCCTCAATGTCCAGTAGACCTGTGTATATACGTATATATATGGATATACTGTATATGTGTGTGTATGTGTACGCGAGTGTGATTGTCTGCCGTATCAGCTTGACGGCAAAGTAGAAAGTAGGAGTGCAGATGAGTGGAATGAGAGCTGTAGTACATACTAGGAGTTGAACCGATTCGTCGTCTAGTCAGTGAGACGACTTCACGACTCTGAGTCAACTTAACTGTTTGGCATCGACCTTTAATGCTTGAAGTTGACTAACCACTACACTGTAAAAAAAAAAAGATTGGGTGAACTCAAAATTTCAAGGCAATAAAATTCAATAACATTTTAAGACGATTTAAATAAATGTTTTAAGTTTTGCTGTGTGGAAATTGTCTTTTTTTGCGTTTCACAATCAAGAAATAAGATTGGACATAACGGTTGTCCCCTTGCTTTGGACGACAACTTCAAGATATAAGTAAAAAACGATTTGCTTGCTTTGTTGCGGTTATTAACATTGTTGCCATCAATGCCAGTAATTTATATTTTAAAGCTTTTTCCAACGGCAAAAAGAAAAAAAAAAGTTTTGTTTTGTTTACAGTGTAGCCTATTCATGTACTTGCCGCGCCTCGTCTTCTCTCTGGTCAATTTGCAGAGGACTTTCGACTCGTCCGTTTGTTGTCGTCGCAGGACCTTAACGCTCTGAAGAGCTGGGAGGCGACACAGTCTTCATACTTTTGTCCAAATAAGCTGGTTGGAGATGAGAGTAGTGATTTGTTTTTAAGGATGTGTATATAAGTGCATGTGCCTGGATGTGGGAGTCCAAAATGGTGCTTTAAGACGTTTTGAGTCGTCTAAAAAAAAAAAAAAGGATGACAATGGAAGTAGAAATGTCCGGATTGTTTTCGGCTTGACGATAAAGCGCAGTGACTGTATGAATGTTCTCCTATTACAAACCCCTTTAAAAATGGCCCTCGCTTTGTAAAATATATTCCTCCTGTTTATGTTTACTTGACCTTGCTGGTGTCCTCTTCTCAAATTTGAGGTGGTGTCAAAAAGGTATTATATCTTACAGCTAATAAAGTTGCTACATATACTCCTTGTTCATGTTCTGTCTTCTGTCATTTTTTTCTCAGTTTGACATTACTTCTTTTCTCATTCGCCACCTAATCTGCTAACAGTCGTTATTTCACAGGGGTCAAACTCAAGACCCGTCAGCCAGATCCGGCCCGCCATGTCATTTTATCAAATCATGGGTGTCAACTTCGATGATTCTTGTTAAAATCTGTACCTAAATGTCAAATTGTCATGTGTAATAAATAACATTGTGATTTTGCAATAATTTATATACAGATTCATCGAGCGGCCACTCAGACTGGTCGGGGGCCGCCAGTTGCTCCATCCTTGACCTTGTGTGTACAATTGACTGTTCAGGTCCATTCTGGCAGTTCCACTTTTCGACCACTTGAGGGAAGCACTAACTCAAAGCAAATAAAATCCCCTCGCGCCGAAGCTGTGAAAGCAGGTGGCGATCTCAACCTCCAAAGATAATAGTAACATTTGGCCTCTTAAGGTGTAACACAATAAATAATACAATGATGCATTTGAGTTCACAACAGGTTATTTGTTTACGGCAACTATCTGACTGGTATCTGCTGCCTTTCCGACACATATTTTGTCTCAAATTCCGGTTCAAAACATCCAGTTGACCCAAGCTCAAAATTGGCGTAACTGTTTGCGATTTCATATATGTGAATGGCAACCCCCGTTTTCCGTAGTGAAAGAGTTGTCTTTCTGTCTAAGTTGAATAATGCCATGTGAAGTTGACCAACATGTTTGTGGTTAGCATGTCCACCTCACTATTGAGAAGTTCTAGTTTCAAATCTCCACTCTTATGTGGAGTTTGTATTTTCTCTGGAATACACACGCACACACACAAAAAAGTAATACTAGTTTTAAAAAATGAATATTTGGTTCATTGAAGACTCTTAAATGTCCAAGTACTGTAGCTCCTATAAGTGAGCACAGCCCTCACATTTTTGCAAACATTTTATGATGTCTTCTCATTGGACATCATCAAAGAAAGGACACTTTGTTACAAAAGTCAGTGGACAGCTTGTATAGCAGTGTAAATTTACTTTCCCCTCAAAACAACTCAATAGACAGCCATGAATGGTCTGAAACGTTCACTGCTTAGTGAAAATGTCCACACTGAGCTCAAAGTTTCAATAGTTTCAATCGCGAAAGTGAGACACCATCTCCTTCATTCTCCACCTTTGATTTGAGGATGCCATACGGTTGTTCAATCGGGTTTAGATCTGGAGACGTGCTTGGCCAATCCATCACATGAGGACAAGCCCTATAGAAGACGAATTGATGGATTTTGTGCTTCATGTTCAGCCTCGGGCAAAGGCTAAAGAGAGTGACCTGAAATTGTCCACCAAGTATACTATGCACACGACTCTTCTCATTCTCTGTAGGTCCAGTGCCGCTCATAAAACGTATGGCTTTTGTTTGAACAGCCAACAAATGGTCCATTAACATTTCTGATGCTCACTTGGGCACACAGCAGATGGTCTATCATTTAACACTCTCGTAATCTTTGGATCACATTCAACCCTCACTCCTTCACATTAACAGAACAAAATGTAGACAAGGCAGTGATCATATGCACACACGCTCCATTCTTTAATGGCGTACAGTTGTGTCGAGAAGCCAGTGAGTGATCTCTGTGAGACGCTGCCAAAAGCTCCTTTCACGCCAACCGCAGAGTGTTAAAAGTTGTCTCTGGGGACATATGGACCGTCTTCTGGTGCCAAGTTAATGGGAACGCATTTGCTGGTCTGAAACTATGCCGACACCCAAAGCCCTGAAATGAATGAGGCAGCAATTTCTGTTTATACTTAAAGGAGGAGAGTAACATCTTGTCTGTATTAACATTTCAAATCTTTACTGCACAGAGCTACCTTGACGTACCACCAAACTTGTGACTCAATTCACTTGTATTGAAACGCCATGATGTGTTCCAGCCCCCCCCCCCCACCCCACCCTTTTGGGGGGGGGGGGGGGGGTTATAGCCCCCAGAGCCTGACAGTCTCTTTAAACTGGATTAAGTCTGCCCTGTCTCGAGGCAGATTATCTGCAATCGATGCAAACAAAGTCCTTCTTTTTACATATATACTGTTCGTGTGTATACCGAGTCGCCTTCAAAATCGATGACTTTTATTTCTGTATTTTGACCTTAAAAAAAACAGAAAAGAACCTAAATATTTTGGATGCTCCACTGGCTACATCCCGGAATCATCTTATATCAGGGTATTATATTGTTTCATTAACTCCAGTGTTACGGGCAAAATAGCTAACACACTAAGCTAAAACATAGGATAAAATTGAAAATGTTACTTTTTTACTGTTTGGAGGCAAATAGTTGGATTTCAGACAGTCTAGTAATAAGGCGCCCATCACTTGAAAGGCGCTCTGAATCTTCACCCATCTTTGCTGATCATGTTATAGGTGTAGAAACTCAGTAATGGCTGGCTATTTTGCAAATTTTATTGTAGTTGGGTGGAAGTCCCGAATGGAGCACTCACAGCCACGTTGTCAAAAATATGTAGCTCACAAAAGATTGACTTGCTTGTGTTATTTGACACTCAATAGGTGGGCAGGCGCTCTACAGACCAAACTATTTGCATACAAACTTTAAAAAGTCCATTTTCCATAATATGTCCCCTTTAAAACTCTGTCACCACATAGAGTGCCGTCATGGCAGCAGTTGCCATAACGTGTCTCATGTGAGGACAGCCAGGCTTGATCAGAGTGGGGGCAATAATCCAAATTGGCAGCGGCCTCAAGTCTACCATTTGAGTGTGATCCACGTGTGTGTGTGTGTGTGTGTGTGTGTGTGTGTGTGTGTGTGTGTGTGTGTGTGTGTGTGTGTGTGTGTGTGTGTGTGTGTGTGTGTGTGTGTGTGCGCAAAGGACATTCTTGGCCCACCCAAGCTTCTCAGCTGCCCCTTGTGAGCACATACAGTACATGGAAACACACACTACTACTAAAGGCTTTGTTTTTAAAAAATCCTGTAATAATAATAATAATAATAATAATAATAATGATACTAATCGCAGTAGTAGTAGTCATAGTAGTAGTAGTAGTAGTAGTACAAGGTAGAAAGTGAGATTTTTCCAGTTATGTGTCATTCCTTCTTTCCATTTCCGAGTAGATCTGCCTCATCAAATATGGCGGACGCAGCTCAGTAACCCACACAAGGCGGCGTCTATGTACAGTATAGGCCCATATGTCTTTGCGAACACATTCACAATCACACTTTGTAATGGCAGTGTTTCGATTTTCCAGTCACCGTAGTTTATTGTCTTCTCAAATAGTACATAGCTGACATCAAGTCAAGTTAATGTAGGACCAGCTATTGGTGAGCTAAAATGTGACGCTAACATAGCTAACCAGGGTGTGTGGATTTCATCGTAGGTAGAGGTAGATGTTGTGTCCCGTCTTTGAGTTGCACACTTTGCATGGTGCCATTCCCTGTCAAAATTTCATCAAAACATAATTCTTGAATCATCTTTGGATCACCCTCCATGAGACTTGCTTCATTCAGGTGGCTTCTGCGCTCTGCCTCGTAGCAGAATGGTGAGTTGCCAGCTTTCCAGCACACACAACACAAGACCTGAATTTTTCAAATCCAAAGCCCACTATATTGAAGATTCAGATTCAGATGTAAATTGAGTTGAGTTGAGACCTGTCAATTCACACCGTAGCTCAAGTCAAATTAAGTCATCAATTTCAGTCTCATGAAAACCCAAGTCAAATTCATGTGTTTTGTAAGTTTGAGCAAGGCAAGTTCTAAAACTGGTCACTCACCTCCCCCCACCTCTGCCCTGTATCACACTGTAACTTAATAATCATCCCAGGTGAATAAATTGAAGCAGATGGGAGGGAACCATCATGAGTTGTTTGCGCTGGTAGTCTACCATCTGTCTGCACCACATCTGGACTAGATGCTTGTCAGCACTATACGCAGTGACTTTCACTTGACTTCTTCCACTTAATATCGTGGCTCTGGTTCAGAATATGTGTGTTATGTTATATTCTTATGGGCTATTATCACAAGGCTGTCGGCTGTGCAGTGAAAGCCATTCCAAGAAGGAAGCTGACTGTGTGGAGTGGAGTGCTGTGTTGTTTTGGGCAGGACCATATTTATCTCTGCTCTCTCAGCGGGTAGGTGGTCTTGACGGTGTCTTGCTTGTATTTCACCAATGGCAGCCAAGAGAGAGTGTGTGTGCCAGCATAAAAAAAAGTGACACATTCCACATCCAGATTATTCTGATTTAATGTGCAAATGTTTGATAGAATACTGCTTTATTTTAGGAAAGGAGGAAAGTAACCTAGAACGGTGGCCCCCCCAAAGTTTTTGGTGTCACGGACCAGTTGAGACGAGTACATGCTGTTCGCAACATTTTATTGACATACATTTTTTTTCCCATTCATTTCAAAAACTGTGATTCCACTGTACAACAAATGTAAAATACCGGTAAAATAAAATAACATGGATGGATATTTGCTCTGTATCAAATATCAAATACATTTGAATGTTGATTTCATGTACAATTATAAACCAATGGCTTACTTTGCTATACACAGTGAAGAGCCTGAGCCCAGCAGCCACGAGTCGGCTACTGTCAAGACCATGATCAAATCACCCGCAACAACTCAAGGTAATACACGTGTATGCGTCCATGCGAGTGTGTGCGTGCGTGTGCATGTGTGTGTGTATGACAGCACAAAGCTTCGATTACTTCCCGTAACTGTGTCCATCCACCATGTTGTGGCCACAGTGTACATATTTAGACAGGTGTGTCTTCTGAATATTTTAACTGTAAGAGTCTTGCCTTGTTGCTGCTGTTTGTTAATGTGTGTGCGTGCGTGTGCGCGAATGTGTGTATGTGTGTGTCTTTTCAATGACTGATGTGGAAAATCCATAGTTGTGACAAGTAAACTCGCTTTGCCCACACCTGTGGTCCGCAGACAGGGAGGGCAGATGTCAAACAATTCGCGTAGTGACGTGCCTATGAACACACACACACACACACACACACACACACACACACACACACACACACACGCACACATTATTTTCCCCATAGTAAATAATGGAAATATAATACACTAAACCCCCTCCTTTCCTGATTCGCTGTACTGCTATTTTACAGATTTGTTTTTTTTTTTTGTCCAGTTATCACTCAATTTAGGTTTTGTTTATTTTTGAATGTAATTCCACTTTTAGCCACTAGGTGGTGGCAAACGATTGTGTTGACATGATTGATGAAGTAGTGCGATGATAAATTGTTACTGTCTAAAAAAGGAACTTTATGACAGTAAAGACAGGCATTCATCTTCATCCTCCACAGGTGTCAGTCCACAGTGTGGTTTAATCACACCATCCTTTGGCGTCAAGTCCAATGGCAGCATGCCAATGTGTCCTGCCCCTGTCCGCCCTGTGCCTCGGGCCCACCCTAAAGACGAGGATTCACTGGTGCAAATGGCAGAACATTACCCTGCCGGGACTCGCACACCCATGTGTGGCCACTGCAACAAGGTCATCAGGTAAGGTAAAATGATCGCATTTGGGATTATAATATTTTCCCATGACAGTGGACCCCCATTTATCACGGGGGATACAATTCAGACCTACCCGCCTTTTCAAATTTCTTTTTTTTTTTTTAATAGAAAATATAGAAGCACAGCATACAACAAAAGAAGATTAGACATTGCATATTTAAACACCCAAATGTTCACCAAAACAATCGCATTTTATCAGATGAAATTAGCTTACTTCAAGCATACACTATGTCACAGGTGTCAAACTCAAGGCCCGGGGGCCAGATCTGGCCCGCCACATCATTTGATGTGGCCCGCGAAAGCAAATCAAACATATCAACTTCCATGATGCTTGCTAAAATCTCGACCAAAATTAAAAATTGTCATATGTAATAAATAAGAGACATATTGTAAGCATTTTCTTGGAACCAAATTACATTACAGTAACTTAAACAATAGTTGAATAAACCTTTATTGACTTTTTTCATTTGGTTTCAGTCATAACGGCCCTCCAAGGGAAACGGTAACTAAAATGTGGCCCACGACAAAAATGAGTTTGAAACCCCTGCACTATGTTGTAAGATGCCAGAGATGAGCTAATGTAAATTAGCATCGATGTTGCAGCACAGAGCAGGAACTCTACAAACAGAGCATACAACAGTATTTCTAGCAGTGTTCGCTCTTCTCTGTGGGAACAGCAACTATTACTGGACCTTCTCTGCCCCTTCTTCTTGCTCTTTTTATACTGTATTTGTTGAGCGGTATAGCATGTTGTGGCATAACATGATACTAAACTAAAAGTATGCAACTTTAAAGCCAGCATGGGATTATGATATTGTTGTTTTTGTTGGTGTTGTTTCAGGGGACCTTTTTTGGTGGCAATGGGCAAATCATGGCATAAAGAAGAATTCAATTGCGTTCATTGCTGCACGTCACTGGCTGACATCGGCTTTGTGGAAGAGCAAGGCCGCGTTTACTGCGAACACTGCTATGAAGACTTTTTTGCGCCCACATGTAGCCGCTGCCAGGCCAAGATACTGGGGGTGAGTGAGTTGCACTTTGCAGGACATCTTAATTTGATATATTTGGAGTATTTTTTGAGTCCGTCCCTCATCCTATAATATCATATGGTATCATATAATAGCTCACCATACCAAATACAAACATCTGAATGCTTTTTTGATATAAAATGTGGACATTGACACAAGTTATCGTCAGGCTTCTCTCTGTGTTGACAGAATTAAGCTTTGGAGGCTTTGAAAGCTGCAAGTGTAACTTTTAACCCGACATGTCAGGAAGCCGAGATATGTGCGCTCTGCAGTTCACTGATGTTCATCCGTCACGTGTTCCAAACCTCTTGAGGGCCTACAATCCCCTTCAAAACCCTCAATTTCTCACACATCTTCAAGCAGCTTAGGGCGTCTTATTAACCTGTTTTCTCGCCCTCTTGCCCTTAAGCCCCCCCCCCAATTTAGTGTGACCCGTCAGCTTTTCCATTGATTCTCTGTCCCGGTTGTGTTCTCACACTCTTCAGGGTGGGGAATGACTATTTTAAGCCGAGTCATGAGCTCCCAGAGGACGAAGAAGAAGAAAAAAAAAGCGCGATCATTAAGTTAGTCGTAATAGTGCAAGTGTGATATTATGATTCAATGGGTGCACTGTGCCAAAAAGTCACCTTAAGTAAATTATAATAAAATTATAAGCTCAGTTCCCAATACATGGTAGTGGTTGTACACAATCAGGGCGCCAGACTAACTTTTTGGACAAGCACAACAATGGCCCCTAAGTAAAAAAAAAAAAACAAAAACAAAAAACCCCAAAGCAACTATCAAAACAAAAAAGGCTTTATTGATATGGTATCTCCAAATCTGAATTTTTGAAGATGTCTCTATTGTAGCTAACCTGTTTTTGTGTCCAGGAAGTGATCAATGCCCTCAAGCAGACGTGGCACGTCCACTGCTTCCTGTGTGCTTCCTGTCAGCAGCCCATCCGAAATAACACCTTCCACCTGGAGGATGGCGAACCTTACTGCGAGCAAGGTGAGACGAAGAAACAACGGAAGCAGACCATGGACTCTTATCATTTTAAATGTTGCGGATCATTGTCGCTGTTCTGAAGTTAACCCCAAAAAGCGTCAAATGTTGTCCAATGTCAAAAAAGCCAATAAGGTGCCATCTCAGCCGCTTGTGGATTCGGAATGCTAATCCTGGAAAAATGTCACTAAAAGCAAGTTTAATTTTCCTGGAACTCACCTGGAGTTAAAAGTCACTTCAACTCTAAACGTACTCAAAATCGACTCCAGGTTAATTAAAAAAGTGCAACCCCGGCATATTTGTGTAGAATAGAACATATGTAGAACATTAAGTGATTAATTAAAAATTGTTTCACGCCAATCATTCTTACCTCCATCAAGAAAGTTGCGCTGTAATTGCCATTGCCCTACTTGACCTTAGCATATTGTATTGCGACTATCACGTCAGCAGTAATATGTCACAATGTAATCTGTTTCATGTATAATTGACTGCAATGTAACTTACCGTAGCATAATATCGTGTAGGGTCGCATTGCAACGTATCACATAGTAACACACTATTTTTAGCAAATCCATTGCACTATTTTTTCACAAACACAATTTATTCTTTATTGATGCAATAACAGTCAATTAAAAATGATTTGAGGCAATTATGGTAATAGGCCGACGATATGCTTTTGTGACATTGCACGCTTGTATGGCTATTTAATTTACTGTGTGTGTTGTGTGTGATAGACTTCTACAGATTGTTTGGCACGGGCTGCCACGGCTGCGAGTTTCCCATCGAGGCGGGAGACAAGTTCCTGGAGGCGCTGGGCTACCCGTGGCATGACACCTGCTTTGTGTGCACCGTAAGTGCAACAGATTGTTCACCACACTTATCTCCAAGGTTTCCCACCTCGGACTCTCTCTCTATATTGTCTGTTTTTTTACTCACAGGTGTGCTCCACCACTCTGGAGGGTCAGACGTTCTTCTCCAAGAAAGACAAGCCTCTTTGCAAAAAGCATGCACACACACTAAAAATCTAACTTTTTTTTTTTATTTGGCAATGATGATTTATTTGGAAAGAAGTAATTTTTTTTTTTTGTTTCGGTCATTGTTAACAGAAACGATATACAGATACAGATAACAGAAACAGAATTGTTAACACTACGATATACAGTACATACAATTTTGTTGATGATCATTTTATATATATATATATATATATCATATTGTTACTCATATTGTTACTTATATACCCGTATTGTCATGCGCATTTTTTTGGTTGATTATTGCTTTTGTTTACTACCAACATGCCTATTAATACATGCATTTCAATATGAACTGGTGAAACAGGTAATGTTGTTTAATATGACTGTAATCCCCCCCAACAATTTGTGAAAAAATAAATGCCCCATCTGCAGTTGAAACATACACAACGATAAAACAATTTCACATTATGCCAAACATGTCAATCATGTATTCTATATTTTACCAAAATTCACTCCTTTTTATGCATGATTGGAAGGTGGTAAAATAAATGCACAATTATGCGTTACACATGTCAAAAAGTGGATGTTACCCACACACTGTACTTTACTATCCTATATTACTATTCTTATTATCATGCAGCACCACGCGTGGAGAGGGACGTGAACCCAACAAAGTGCGCGCATGCTCGCACTGTCGCACAGCAATATGCGCAGGCACGTACAGGTACGCGCACACATGACGTAAAATTCTCGTGCACGAGGACGGCTTGGAGACTGGCAAACCCTTCCCCGCCAAGTCACGTCAAGTCACATCTTTTCCTCCAGCCGGACTGAGTAACTTTCTTTCATATATTTCCCGAACCTTTGGAGACAGTGACGGGACGCCACGTCGGCTCTAGGTAAGTTTTAAGTGGAGTTTTGTTTCGTTTCTGGAGAGTTAAAGCGGCAAGATGACGCACAGTTTGTTTGAGGTCTCGTGTCGAATGAGTTGGTTTGTTGATTGACATGATGTAGCTTCCTGATTGCTGAGCAGCTAGCGAGTTTCGTTTTTTTTAACGCTCTCAGAGACGAAAATGTACTTCATTAAGTTGCTTGTGGAATCCAGCTAAGTCTCTCTTATGCTTGTATTTTAAGTTAATTTTCAGTCAAATGATTGTTAAAAAGCTATAACGTTATTTATTTTTTTGAATGGGCTAAACGGTTTCTATGACCTTTTTGGACAAAGGCATACAGTAAGTCACAACTATTAGAATAATAAATATTATAGCATCAACGTCTTCTTCCATCACGACAATCCCTCACTGTCTTAACAGTTTTCTGCACGTGAATCTTGTAATTATTTTCAGAGCTATCTATCTATCTATCTATCTATCTATCTATCTATCTATCTATCCATCCATCTATCCATCTATGCAGTATATACACACATTAAGAGAGAGTACCAATGTTTATTAAAAAGATACATTGGGAATAGAAGTTACAATATTTATTAGAAATTATTCATCACTTCAGTTTTTCTTTTTATCACAATCAATTATTACAGCAGTCATCTCCAGTGACTATCCTGGCAGCCCAACAGTTTTCTATATATTATTATTTCCTGCTATAATTTTAACAGGGTGGAACAGTGGATGACTGGTTCGCACATCTGCATCACAGTAGAGATCATGCATTCGATTCTGGGCCCTGGCCTTCCTGTGTGGAGTTTGCGTATTCTCTCCGTGCCAGTGTGCATTTTCTCCGGGTACTCAGATTTCCTTCCATATTCCCAAAACATGCATGTAGGTTAATGGAACACTTTAAATTATCCATAAGTGTAATTGTGAGTGTGAATGGTTGTTTGTCTTGGTGTGCCCTGTGATTGGCTGACAACCAGTTGAGGGTGTACCCCACCTACTGCCTGAAGCCAACTGTCACACCCACGACCATGCCACCGACCCTGGTGAGGATAAGTGGTTCAGATAATGGATGGATAATTTTAACAGAAAATCAGGTGTAATTTTCAAGTTGAAAAAAGCCTTTTTTAAAAGAAAAAAGGAAAACACCTTTATCTTACAGCAAGTATTACAGGATATCAATACACTCATGGGGAGGCTGCTCTGCCACAAAAAAGCCAAAGAAAAAGCAAAACGCCCATTGTTATTACTCTAATGCTTTCTGACAGTGCGTGTCATTTTTCCACACATTCTGTTTTATTTCTGAATTGAAATCTACAACCACATTAGAGCGTGTATGTGAGTGTGTGTGTGTTTGTGTGTGTGTGTGTGTGTGTGCGCACATGCGCTTAATAGTATCATATACCCCGTGATTCAAGACAAGACGTCTGATTCTGACAATTAAACATTGCCAGCGCTTGCGTGTATTTGCCATGAAAGCTGAGCCAAACGTAAATAGTACAGAAGCCCATTCAAACAAGAAAAAATATTCAAATGGCCACCCACTTTAAGTATGTCTGTATCCCATTCTACTGTGCTATGCTTATGCAGGTACTTCACGCATGTGTTCCAAAATTACCACACCAAAGGTTCAAGTGATTTGCGTGGTGTCATGATGTACATGTCAAGCTTATCTCAAATCATCTTTCCCTGTTGAAATGAATGCAAATGCTATTAATTCATTCCAGCCTCCCGAAAAACACGAACAAATATTTTCTAATGTGTTTTTTTTAAACAAAAAATAGCACTTAAATACAATATCGATATTACAATATACAAAATAATAGATACATAAAATAAAAATTTAACACAAATCAATCAGGATGTGAATTTACCAGTTTGTGCATCATAATTCAATGGGCATTGTGCTGCTTGCTTGTGTGTGCGCCTTGACCAACTGGAGGAAGTATAATGCAAACAAACATACAACACAGATTTGATGATGAAACAGAGAAGACCATAGAAGCTCAGCTGCAGTTATAGCAGTCGTTTTTTGCAGAGGATAAAGAATATATGCCTGTGAGTATTGTTGTCTGCTCTAACTGTGTTGCTATTGTGTTCAAATAGAAGTTTAACTACGGCAATACCTATGCTGGTTTTGTTCGCTGTCTATTGCGTTTTCCTGTACACCATGAACTGGTTGCCAGCATTCGGAGGGCACACCTAGACAAATGACCACTCATACTCACAGTGACACCTAAGGACTCTTTTTAAAATAATGACTTTATTCTGTTAATGCACATTTTTTTTTCTTTTCACCGTTGCTCTGTTATGTTTTTTTGGGAATATTTTGTGGAGGTACTTCTTGTGATGAAATTGTTGGATACACTTGTATCAGATTGTCCTGGCGTACTTTTTGCTGTCCATTTTAGGCCATAGCAGCTACCCAATATTAATATTCACCTTTAAGCCTGTCCATCTAATGTTTCCAGAACCTCCTTATCTTCATCTTCAGGTTCATTACTTTGCTCTGACTCCTGCCCCCCTCAGGGTGGACCACTTATGGTCTCATGATGGATATTATACTCTATAATTCACTTGGGGCACACAGTTCAGCCACCCCCCCGTCCTTGCCTTCCCTTCTTGAATGATGTGATAAAGAGTTACCATTGTCACCTTCTTTGAAATATTTTCCCGCCGTCCCTTGAATGGGGATTACAGACTCCGCTCTCAAAATTGGCAAAGACAACTTCAAAGTCATTTGAAAGGAACCGAACTGATACGATATTGGTTTAGAGTTCCACCCAAAATTTGAATTTCAAATATATAATTTTGTTTGTTGGGTCACATGTCAACGGGCTTACTTATTTTGAGACAAAAATGGTTCAGATTGGTGGCCCAAGAGTAGATTTGTTCCCTCTTGTTGCCACTTTTCTTTCATATACTAAGTCTGACATTTTCACAGAAAACGCTTCAACAGTCGCACTGCTTGGTTTTGAACACAAAAGGCTGTTCCTGGTTTTCACCTCCTTCTGTCGGGTGTTTGGCTTGGCTTCATCCAGACCAAAAGTAATCGCGGCCCATGTTGACCGCTCTGAGGAACAAAAAAAGTGGAGTGATGGAGTGATGAGCTGTGACCTGAGAGGGGAAGAGGGGGGATTAGAAAAGACTGGGGCCAATGTAAAAAAAAAAAAAAAAAAAAAAAAGAAAGACGATAAGCATCTGGATCCACTTGGGCCTAATTTCATACCTAACTTTGAGGACCCCAAATTTTCTTGCTGGCTCTTCTTTGAGGCAATGTTTCATCAGTGATGGGATAAGTATTTCCCTCGGAGCAAATGTCAGGGAGGACCTTCATTTCGTGTTGTTGATGTTTTCTGGCTACTCTTGTTATTGGAAAGACCCACATTGTTTTTGTATGGAAACATGCAATATTGACAGTGTCGGTTTGACTTGGTTGTTTTCTTGGAGAGCAAACGGAAAGACTTTCTGATGTTTCAACAAAAAGTTGAGCTGTTGATCACTGTCCTCTCGTTTTGGTGTATCATGTGTATCCCTGCCCATAGAAATTGTAAGCAACATAATTTCATCGAACGTAGTCACCCTGCAGAACATATTTTTCGTCTCTGATCTGAATACATTCTTTCATTCTTACATGCTTTCTTTCCTACATTCTTTCCACTTTTTGCTTGCCTCTGTGTAAATTGGCATGCTCCCTGTCATTTCTCGGAGCAATATTCGCTACTCGTAGACCCCATGAATATCGGGGGTTGTTTTTTAAATCGATAAATCACACCATGTTCTGATCAGCTCAGTTATAGGTTTCAAAAAAAATTTTTTTTGAACTCGCTGATCAGTGATCGGCCCCAAAATCCCGATCGTGTTAAGCCTACTGCCTACCACACAGGTGTCAAACTCTAGCCCTCGAGGGACGATAACCTGCATGTTTTGAATCGGGTGTGGTAGAGGAGGGAAACATCTCAAAAACATGCAAGATAGCAGCCCCCGAGGACCCAAGTTTGGCACCTGTGACCTACCACCTAATTAAGTAAACATTAAGTTATGGCAGTTACTGAGCATGCGTTCCACATGACCGCATATTCTGATGACTCTGCACAAACTAGTACATTTGCACAACATTCGGTATGTGGAAACATTGTATGTTGGGACCGCGGTAAACCGAGGACTCCAAGGCACTCCCCCTTCGACTAATATT